CTGTAACTTTTTGATGCAAGGTCATACAGAGTTGTGCGAGGTCTTATTTTGATCAGAAACATTTGCTCTACAAAGGTGTGTTTTCAAAAAAATTTTAATTACATAAGTATCCAGGAAAAACCCATTATTTAAAGACCCCTTTTTTCGAGGCTCTTAGAAAACTTGCTCAAAATCCCCGAAAAATCAGTTTTGTAACCAAAAGCAATGTAGATTCTGGAAGTAGACACTTCAGGCTATCTTTCCATGTGTGTATCTCAAAACCGATTTTTTGACCGAAAATCACCATTTCTGAGGGGGGGGGAGGCCCTTAAGTACATAATTCTAAGGTACATTATAGTGAAATTTTTAAAAACTAAAATAATTCAGTTTTTGACTTCATACTTCCATATCATACATGGGTTAGGATTTTGTAAACGGAATAAAATCGGTGCTGTTTAAAAGTATATGTTTTCTGAAATTTGATTTTTGAAGAATGTTTTCAGTCAGTCGTTCGTAACCAATTTCAGATTCGCTATTTAAAATATTTTCATAAAAACTTTTTCAGAAATCAATATAATTCTAGTTCGTAATACTAAAACCGTACAGATATTCAATTTACAATGCTTCATCTCATGGTATAGTTGAGATTGAGCTGTAAAGTCAAGAAATTCAATTATGGTATTGACCAAAACAATGGTCACTCCTCTATCTCTTGACAACTGTGATACTGAATATCTTGCCCACGTGTAGTCAAGTGTTAATCATTTCATCAGTATAGTTCCCATTTCCTGCAATATAAGGACTATCTTTTGCAGCTAACGCGCATAATACACACAGAAAAAAATGTTTCGAAAATGGTAGCTAGAGTTTGTATGCTGAACCTCACAGTCGTTTCCGAATATTTGCTATAGCTTGGACAACGGCGTTTCGGCACGACATTCGGGCGCAACGACGTTTGTGCGCAACGACATTTGGGCGCATGTACGACACAAGCATTCAGTAAGAGTGCATTTGTTAAAGTATGATACATAACGATAAAATTTTCTTTTACAGCCATTAACTCATCCATCTGTTTAGGGATTAAAATCAGTTATATATTATGGATTATCGAAAAGAGGTATGATTTTATTGGAATATCACATATGATTAAAATAGTACAAAACACTTATAGTACGCTTTAATTCATTCCGCATTCTTACTTTCGGTGTTTTTCGTTGTTACCTGCATTTGAAATAGCTGATAAAACAATAATTTGTTTTTACAGTTGAAAAAACCAAGCAAAATGTTGCTTGGATCGTTTCAAACTAGCATACTTCTTTTCTTTGTGAAGTATGCAATTGCTCTCGTTTGCGGTATATTAATGAGACAAGAAGTGCGGACAGCATGATGAGTAATATTATTGTAGCTGATGAGTAATATTATTTTGTGAACTAAGTAAAAGGTATCGGCTATAACAGATTTTTGTTCTTTCAACATTATGTGAGACAAACCTTTTCCACCATTGTCTTAAATGGATCAAGGCATACACGATTCTCTACTAATACGCCTCCAACAGTTCCTCCACGCAGAAAACCAACATCTGAAAACATTAATAACACAACTTTAGCTACCAGTTCAAAGTCATTTACATTTACGATGTAACAGATATTATAATAGACGCAGAAAACTATAAAAATGCAAGCTTATGAGTAATATTTTCGGTAAAAGAAAATCTTTTGTTTTAGGCGAATATGATATGCATACTGTAACTGAAAAACAGATGGACGATCACTGTCACCGTACTGCAGCAGAACCAAATCTTATTCCATCTTTCAACATTTTTAATCGTAATGAAGCTAGTCATACTAATCTAAAAACACACAACGCTAATTTCATGTGGTTCCAACTGTTTGTCGAATTATTATTTCGCTTATCAGATACAACATCGCAACAAGAGCTCGTTGATGTCTGCCGTCGTGCGTATACTACCGATACGGTTGAATGTGCAAGAATCGACGAATTTACTAAAACATATCATTCCTCGAAAGCCATTGAATGGTATACAAAAGATTGCTGCTTCTACCGCCTCATAAACCGTTCATTGAGAGAACAAGACTTCGAAACCGTATTTGCATTGAGGCGACTTATTGTTGACATTCATAAACAACTAATAGGTGAACATGAAAAGCTGCGACACCTCTCGAGAAACATATGTGATCTAAGTGTGAGAGTCTTTCGGGGACAAGCAATGTCAGCCGATGAGTTGAATTGTCTTCGATCGAACATTGGAGAATTCATTTCAATGAACAGTTTCCTTTCTACAAGCCAAAGTCGTGATTTGGCCCTCGACTTTATTCAATCCGCTCAGGATCACGAGCGTATTCTATCTCAAACTGATGCGAATTTAGCATTAAGCAGTAGACCATTCGGCAGCATCTCACATTTGAGCTGTATCAGGGGCGAGGAGGAAGTGTTATTCACTCTAGGTTGCGTATTCCAAATCGTAGAAGTTGTTTATAACTCTGCGTCCACACTGTGGAACGTCCATTTAAAGCTCTGTAATGATGACAACCACGACCTTGTGGACGTTTATCGGCATATGAAGTCAAAATTTGGCGATAGCGCTGACTTGAGTTCTCTGGGCGACCTGTTTTATAAAATGGGGGATTATAAAAGAGCCGAGACGTGCTACAAGGCATTAATTCATCGGAAGGAGACGGTAGCTCCATGTTATCAAGGTTTAGGACGAATTTCACTTGCAAAAGGTTACCGAAATTTAGCCATGGTGTATTTTAACATACTATTTGGTCTTCCCTTGAAATCCTCGCGATTAGCATCGACATTCAACCATGTCGGAAGCATATATGCAAACGATCAAAATTATGATTTAGCTAGGACAAATTACAACCAAGCACTTGAATTGTATCGAACGTATCACAATGATCATTACATGGCTATGTGTTATACGGGAAAGGGGAGAATTTACTGTGGGGAAGGAAATTTTGAGAAAGCCTTGTTCATGCATGATAAGGCGTTGGTCATATGGCAGAAAAGTTTGCCAAGAGATCATTCATACCTTGCTCTTGTTTACAAGAACATTGGTATTACTTATCGGATGAAAAAAGAATTTAGTATAGCATTAGAAAACCTTCTAGATATTGAGCTAAAATCACTTCTTCTGTTTCATCCTGATCTAGGTGCAACATACGCACAGATTGGTTTGGTGTACCAAAACACGAATAGATTTGTAGAGGCACTCGAACACTTCAGAAAGGCTTTGTATATACTTTGCTATACATTTGCAGATAGTTATTCCGATCTCCAACAACTTAGATGCGATATTCAATGGTTAGCAAATATAACTTCCACAAATACAGTAGAGTCTCATGGTCTATATGCTGATGGGTATATATATCCTGTTTTGGATCAAAATATATGAGTGAAATGCAACTTTATTATACAATTGGTAAAAAAAAATGAAAGTCCTCCCAGGGAAAATCTAATTCGTACATCTTGTTCCTTATCATATAGTGAATCCGTAGTAAAAATATCCGACCCGACTCGTCCTGGTCGAGATATTAGAACATAAATTTCGGGTTTTCAATAAAAAACTTTCTAAGAGAAATTGTGCCGAATGAGCGTCGACAGTCCATGTATGACACATCATTAGATAGATCTGAGCTCGGATAATCTAATGGTACCCACAGCAATCGAAGTACGCCAAAAACAATCGCGAAAGATGTCAAAATACGCATTTCTCCTCGAAAAACCGCATAAAAAAGCTGATTTTTCTGAGGTTGCGTGTTTGGAGAGTCTAAAAAACTGCGGAATATTGTTATAGATCATCGGCTTAAAGCTCTCGGTCTAGTCTGTGCTCTTTCAAAGTCCAGAGCCTTATTTAGGACACTGAGCTTAACCACACTGATCCAAGGTCATTTCGTTCGCTACAGGTCTGGTTATTTCTTATCATAAGTATAAAAAGCAATAAAAACTACAGATCTGAGCCAAGGTATTACATTAAAATCACTCAGAGGAGTATGAACTTATGAGTATAAATAATAATAAACGTATGAGTATAAAACTTAAAATTTCACTGCCAACAAGCTTTCCTTATCGCTTGATAAATCTTTGCCATAGAATTTCCCATCGCTTGTTGCTACCACTTCGTGTAGAGTAACAGTGCCTTTGATTGTTGACAGTTTCGGTAATTTCACCTTTTCAACATCAGATTTTCCATAAAGATATAGTTTGATATCAGTCCTGTCTTCAATGGCATCGATAAGATCAGATACACTAGAAAACGAATCATCAGGATTATAATTGATCGCTTCGTCCATCTTCCTTTTCAGTGTGGCACCAATTGAATCAGCCACTCCTTTACCATGTCCCGCTTCAAAATAGATCCATTTAATTTTGATTTTCTGTTTGGCAGCAAATTTCTTAATCAGATAAAACATAGTTTTGTTTCTGTACTGAGATATGGGTGAATCGGAAATGATATTGATGATTGAAATTTCTTTTTCATCAACTAAATGATTCAGAAGTGGTTGAATACCGGCCCATGCCGCCTCAGCCATATGATTTGTATCATCGGATAAACAGCCGAAACTAAACGAGCCATCTTTTAGCCAAACATAACCAATTTGAAGAGCGACATGTTGTTCGAAATAAAATGCTCCTAACCACAAAAAAAGATAAATTCATGTTGGTTTTGAGCTCTAGAAAAATCCACTATATCCTTTTCTTCTCTAGCTTGTTGCAGGTGATAGTTCTCACTCCAGTCCAGCTGAATTGTGGCAATGACATCTTCCACTTTTGCTTCTTCTTTAGACATCTTTGCTGCACGAAATTGTTCACGAATTCTGTGAATATGACTGGCCAATGTCTGAAAAACAGAGAATAAATTACACATTTCCTGACTGAAATCAAAAAATCAACTTACATCAACTTCAGAAATGAATTTTTTCAGAAATTTCTGTATTGTATGTGTTAGAGTTACTTTCGTAGATACAGGAGCAGCACAGTTGGACAAATTCCTCTTTTGCCACTCCGAATATGTCACATTAAAATTTTCAGTATACAGTTTCATTAGTTCTTTCTTAAGTTCTTCAGTTCGATCATCATCTTTCACCGACTCAGACAAATCACAAGAATAACGATCTAGCACAATTTTCACCAGCGGATATCGTGATTTCAAATGATGAAGCTTCTCGAATTCCATTTGAGGGTTGAGACAGGTGACACAAAGACACGTTCCCCAGCTGTCATGATTTGGTTTTTTAATGTTATCAGGAACGTGACGGCAAAATGTGATATAATCAATATCAGTTCCTGTTTCGATCTCGAACTGTTGATGTAGAACTGTTAAATGATTCAGTCGGTAGCGTATCTGTTGATTATTCACATGTTTCTTTTAATCCGGGCAAGGTTTCGAAATATCATCTCGATTTGGAAACTGTTCAATTTGATTATGAAAAGGTGAAAGTGTCTTTTTCTTCGGTACGTTCGAATTAGAAAGATGAGGCCAATTTCTTGTTTTCCGTTGTTAGTACATGAACTGATTTACGTAACTCTTCAATTTCGTTTTTTTCACGAACTGCTGTGTAACTATATATATATATAGTTAAACAGCAGTTCGTGACAGCTGCTGACTGTTGCTGGTGATACCGATCAGTAGAATGAAATATAATAAATAGAACATGACCGACAATACGGTGAGTTAGTTTTGTCACGTTCAAAGAACACATATTGAAGTCTCTAAAGAACGAAGACATTGGTAAATAAGAATGCATTGCCTATCATTATTCTCTGAGATTTTTCAATTACACAAAAGTCAATCCTTGTATCAATAACGAACAGAATCGAATAAATTTGCAGAAAACTGCAAAAGTCAACCTGAAGTTACTGTTCTGTACACCTATAAACGATTGAAGTTGTAAATATTTTTACACTAATTTGCAGCGACATATGCAGAATCGAGCGGGATGAGTGGATTGCTCATGTTGTGGCTTTCTTACAATACCGAACTGACATATCCTTACATAAGATTACTAGGTAAAATACAAGAGAGATTAGATACACAAATGCAATCAGAAAGACGACTTGAACGAAAAACGAAAGTGATCGACTGTTAATTATCGGTACACAATTGCCTTTGTCCATGCAGAGTAGGCATGCAACGGTAACGATAATTTATCGGTTTTATCATATCTTACCAATTATCGCATCTTACCGATTAGCGCTTCTTACCGATAAAACCAATAAAGTTTCTAACGCTTGCTAGCGATCGAAAGCAAAATCAGAATAGAGAGAGTGAGTTTGTACTGAGAATAAACTCATGCTCTCAGCTAACGTTCTTTATTGATCCTTTCTCTTTTTATCTTTTCTTTATATCAGAGAACTAGCAAATAAAATGTCTCTTCTCAGATATGCACAGTATATCTAAAAGATATGTTTCTGTTCGATTCTTGGCAATGTCTATAGAGATTCAACACGTATATGTTCAATTTATTCTTCATAACTCAGTCAGTTTTAATCCAAATTTTATAAAAGGAACTACCATAAGAGTCTCAAGGCTTTCGTCTTCTTACAAATGTGGAAAAGTTAAAGACTTTCACAGTGTAACCTTCCAAAGGACGATCAAAGTCAATGCTTTTCTCCTGATATTTTATCAGCTGAAGTAGTAGAGCAGAGTTAGAGTAGATTTCATTAGTGTTTTGATTTCTTAAGAAATGAAATACAATTTCTACATAATCACACTTACAATCGGTGAGACGATAATCGGTGAGGCGATAATCGGTAAGGACCGATAATCGTTACCGTTGCATGCCTAATGCAGAGAATGCTATACTCGCTGTATTATCTTAAACGTTCTGCTCAGAGAGTTGACTCTCAGTGAAGTCGATGAATACATTATACACTTCGGCTTTGGATTTGCTACGATCATACGCGAATGTACCGCTCACTGGCTTGTCATTGAGCTTTACCAGACTGAAGCTCAGACTGTAGCATGAAGCACAATATGTACATTTTATGTCGACTGCAATAGATGATTAAAATCAGTAAAAATAAATTCAGGACTGTATGAAGTGATCGTTAATAGCAGGTATGCAAAGTACAGCCTTCTCTTTGTATATTTCATACTTTTGTATAGAGTGAGTCCAATATTATTACCGCATCCCCAGAAGTAATTTTCTAATTCAGCGTGGCACCATCCGTTCCATACCTCATCGTTGCTGTCTCTGAAGCTCCAGCTCTGCTCCCTTGATCGAATGAGCACGTGCATGGAGCTTTGTATTGTGAGTGCGTTGTTAGAGGAGATCAAACGGTTGAACAGGAGAGTAGTGTAGTTTATATGGCTATTGCTGACGAAAATTTCTAGACGTCAGTTATACTGACAAAGTGATCGCAGATGTGCTGAGTGTGTGATAGGTATGTCTCTCTCTCTCTCACCTGTAAAAGTTTCAGAACCGTAACTTTGATGGAACGGAGTTACAGTCAGATCATGAGGCTGCCGGCGTACGAATCATCGTGCACTTGAATCTTGTGGAGATAAGACGGCCTTCGCACTAAAGGCAGCAGATATACTGGACTGCATTTAGCGCTAAAAAAATCAGCAATGGACGAGACAAAACAAGCAAAATTGCTCTGTGGGTGCTTCAAGGTTAGTGTTCACGTAATAACTCAGTCACGCTACAGTCGATCAAGCTCGGGTTGGTGGTCTGGACGACAACTCGTGGAATCCTATTAGCAGTAAACATTTCGGCCGATCCGTTGAGATACTCATAGAAAGTAGGGGTGACAGTTACTTTTGTTCACGACTGTATCAACGATAGGATTTTAATATTTTGACAACGACTGAAGAATCATCACTTTCTTAAAAAACTCGCTCATTGCGACACACTAAATTTATTATGTTTATTATTATGTGAAAAATAACAAGTGGTTACACATGGTCTGTTTTATTTTCTCTATTTTTTCTTTTTTGCAAAGATAGCCAAGTAAAGGAAAGGTAACGTTTTTTATCTGTTGTATGTTTCACTCGAAGTAAATACAAAGTGGCATGTATGGCGTAAAGATTAGATTTTTCTTATCTGTTCTGTTATGCAATTACTTATGACGATTATATAAGCTTGCGACAGAACACTGATCTCCGTCACCATTCCCACATTACATGCTAATGGAGCAACTCCCAGATTCCTCACCGCGCATAATCTCGCATCCTCCTAACAGCCAAGTCCATTCCCGTCTCCTCCTTGTAAAAGGAACCTGTGGATCAAGTGCAACCGGGGAAATTCAAATCTCTTCTCACCATGACAATTTTCCATCACAATCGTTTCCCGTGAGAAATGGACAATTTAAAGCATTAATACATTTATCGCCTGGTGAGAATACAATCAAGATGAATTTCTACGATGGTAGTAGTCCATGGGTATCGTCTTGGACAGTAAATTATACTCCACTTTTACAGAATCCTCCTCTTCATCTATGCATCATCGTCGGATCCGATTCACCACTTACCTACGACGATGTTCCAGATTCTCAAGATCCACCGTATTTAGATACAGCAATAAAGAAGTTACGATTGGCGGGGTATTTATGGCAAGCGTATACCAGCTGTCAGATGTCATCAAATGGACTAGGTCATCGAACATTTCAATTAAACGAATCATGGCAACGCGATACACTTAGTTCTGCAGATCAATCGTATAGATATACAGCCACGATCCGTGTATTGAAAAGTAAATACACAACTGCCGAAATCCGCGACCCACAACGAGCGCAACAGAATAAAAGTGCAGAAAAAACGAGTAGTCTCTTTGATATAGCATTAGAAGCCATTCGTCCTGAATTTCCAGGCGAAAGAAATCACATTGCAGCTCTATTCTTGGACTCACATTTTGAAAATGGTCTGATTACAGGACATGCAGCATTGGGATTGGGAAGCGTCACTGCACAACATTCTCTCGCCATATTCGGCTCTCATTCTCTCTTTTCCTGGCCAACATCTTTGGAAAATGTTATTCCATGCTTTATGGATGAAAGAAGCGTTAATACAAGCTACTGCGGTGTCGATGTGGAAGGTGATAAGTACTGGATTGCGTGTAATGTCGGTATCGGTGCGATGATGCATGAAGTAGGACATTTATTCGGTTGTCCACATCAACGGAGTGGTGTAATGATGCGAGACTATATTCGTTTAAGTCGATCGTTTAGTGTGATTGAACCACCTGGTCCGCCGGTACTGAACGGCGATGAATGTTCATGGCATCGACTCGATCTGTTGCGTTTTCGAGCGCACCCGTGTTATGCACTGCCTGGCGATCAAGTTTCTGCAGAAGGCGAAATACAAATTTTTGGAGTTGATCAAGGTGTTTTACTCAAGTCGACAAGTGCGGTGTTGGTAGTAGAAGTTTACCTTGAAGGCGATGAGTTTCCGAAATCATGGATAGAGTATGTCGAGAAGCCACCTTCCGAAGTTATTCTCTCTGAACATGAATTAAGGAGTCGAGTTGGTGCAGAAGGAAGAATCAAGATCAATGTTATTGCTCTTAATGGAACGAGCACTTCCACTGACGACGTTGCGGATTTACTGCACGTTCAACAGGTTCCAGGACTAGGAAAGGTATGGAAATCAGCTAAATTAGGCCTACAAGCTGGTTCTCCTTCATCGATTGTACTCCCCGCTCATTCACTTGTGAATATACGAGTTCATTGTGGTCTCTGTCTGGATGGTCTTGAATTCTTTACTGAACGAGAATCGTTTCTCTTTGGAAATAGAGGCGGTTCACCGCATGATTTCTCTATGGAATATGACGAATTTATTAGAGGCTTTGGTGTGAGAAGTGGCGCCTGGATCGATGCCCTGCAGATTATTACGAATAAAAGATGTAGTGAATGGTATGGTGATATTAATGGTGGAAGTCAGCATGAGTTGATGGTACCTAATAATGGTTATCGAGTCTGTGGAGTTTATGGGGAAGTACAAAACTGGGTCATGCAAATAGGACTGCATTATTGTATCTTGACATAACTTCCCAGCAGGAAATTTGCTAAACTTTCAGACGCGTTGTGGCCGTTCTGCTTTTCGATCCATTTTGATGAGTTTTGCATTTAAAACCGTGACTTTTAACGCGTTGAACCTAGAGGTGTTAGCCGCGCCGCCGCCATAGACAGAATTTGTTTCCCAAGTTTTTCGCCGGCGCCGCACGTAGTTTTAGGTTAAAAAAGTTAAGAAAAGACTGTTTAAAAGCATTGTAGTGGTAAACAGTAGGAGTGTTAATTTAGTGTTACTTTGAAAAATAAATGTAAATGAATCATTTATACTTAAAAAATAAATATAAATAAATGAAAAAAAAATTTATCTTTATTTTATAAAAGTAAATGATTTCTTTATATTTATTTATTTATTTGTACCTTTATTTTTAAAAATAAATAAATAAATATAAATGAATCATTTACTTTTATAAAATAAAGATAAATTTTTTTTCATTTATTTATCTTTATTTTTTAAGTATAAACGATTCATTTAGTTTTATCCGTTATTATGAATGAAAAATAAAACTAAATTAACACCCCTAGTAAACAGCCAACGTTTAAACGGGTTTAAGTAAGTTTTTGACGAGTTTTAACGAGCTCCCTATGGGTTTAAACGCTGCAATGATCTATTCTGACTATTCTGCTAGGCTCCAGATCAATACCGGTCAAATTAGACCAAATGTTTTCGTTTTCACGCATTAGAAATGGTGAAATGATGCAAAGCCGTTTGGCGTTATATTGCATCTCAGTACATTCATTAAATAATGGAATACATATAAAGGCATCAAAAAAATTTACTTTTCGCACACGTTCTACGTTTTGAATACATGCTAAGCCCTTTGTCATTATGAGCCATTAAAGATAAGTCACGACCTAACGTGCTCAGTCGACCATGTCAGATTTCTTCCAACATAGTGGACTTCTTTAAAGCAAATATTTTCATGAATTTTGGCGAAAACCGCAGATTCTAAAGTTGTTGCGTTGCTGAGATATTCAATTTTTGCAAAGAGCCCGAAAATGCACAAATTCCGGCATCAAAGGAAACTGTCAATGTAAACTACGTACAACTCCGTAATGATACATTACTTAGACTTAAGAATTCTGTCATAACTACTAGATAGTGTCTAATACAAATTCACACAACCGCGAGCTCGAGACATGCTTCCATTCTTTTACAGTAGATGATCCCGTGAGAGCCCAAATCATCGATCCGGTCATTTTGGCAAACGGTTTTCTTTCGAAAAACCGGGTGAATTTCTTGCCCACTAGGATATTGTTGGAGTACACCAAAAAAATAATAACGATAATCAGAATAAGACAATATAGATAATAGGACTACTGACCCTCCTTTTCACCAAGCATACAAACAAGAGATTTCTCTTTTTTGCGCTCTTGAAAAAAACTTCAGACTAACTTCTCATAAGAGTTCCTGGCCTTGCCATTTGAAAATTTTGAGATTTTTCCATGGTGATCATTTTTTTATATGACTCATAGATGAAATCACTATTTTTTAAAGTTTCTTAGCAGTATAATCTTCGTGACTGACTCAAGGACGAAACAGCTGATTTTGGATTTTTCCAATTTTCACCGATTTTCGGTGTCGTAACTACGATATAATTCATTTAGATTTGTCAGAAAAAGCCCTAAGCCTATCCTGTGAGTTCTGATGACCTTAGTACTCTGTGCCTCTGAGACCCTCACCCACCCTGCAGGATACGGTAAGTCCGCTCTGCACATCTCTAATGCACCTGACAACTGAAACAGAAGTAATCATTGCTTAATAACTACCTCTCTAGAAAGCTGAGCACTAGGAAACCTCAGTTCAAATTTATAATTTATCCTTTAAATTTTTTGTATCATAAACAGTTGAAAAAATGTAGGAGAAAGTTGATTTGATCAATTTATTCAACAAGTAACGTTCCTCTTCGATTCATTTAATCTTAGTATATTGATTAAATTGTCAGCAATTGTATTTTAAATTTTTGCAACTGTTTGTTTTCAACAAATTATTAAAATTCCTTTAATGATTACTTTTCGACAACAGTATATTAAATAAATTGATGTAATTAAACTTTCTCTAAAATTTTTTCAACTGGGTATGATACAAAAAAATTTAAAGGATAAGTTATGACTTTGAAATGTTTTCTAGTTAAAGAACATGTCGCAATCCATTTATATTTTCGTAATACGTATCGCAAGAAAGAGAATGAAGAGGATGGACTTAACGACATGTCGTTAAGGAAATTGAACTATGTGTTTCTTTCGTTTACAAAGAAAATACGTTCATTTCGTTCTAAACGAAAGATGCGAATAAAAGTTATAATATACTTAAACTATCACCGATGTCACATCGACGATGTGAACGTGAAATAGAATAATGTATGTATAGAATATGGGAAGTTACAAAATTAACTGAAAGTAAAACTATTTATAAAGTTCAGTATATTTGTGCTTGAACTGTGTATTTTGAATACTTTTCTCATGTACGATTGTGTAGAGTATAGTCACGGGTAGGGATGTTACTTTACTTTTACTGGCTTATCACTTTACTTAGTAAAGTAATAAAAAATTATTTCTTATTACTAGTAATAAAGTATTTTTTTTATTTTTTATTACTTATTACATGTAGGGCGTAACAGAACTATTACTTATTACTAGTAATAAGAAATAATTTTGTATTAGTGCATCGCGCTTCGAAAAGTAACAAAGAATAATATTATTGATTAACAAGAAATGTTATTTTCCGTTGGGCTGACCAACTATAAATATAGAAAAAATGAATCTTTTTCAAATACTCTTTTTTTTGTTAGTTTTGTAGTAATTTTCTAATCCTTCTCTATCGTTTAAAGCTGATGGCCACTTTACACACGAGTTATGTGTTATGAGATTAAGTATTTTTATCCATCAGAGGGGTTCTAGAAAAGGTAATCGTAACAGTGAAGATGTGCGTCTTTTAAGGACATGTAGCACGTTGTTTCTTCGAAAGAGAAAGACATGATTTTCTTAAAGTAAATATCAGAATCAGCTTAAAAAAAAATTTTTTAATGCTCAAATATTTTCTTGTTTTATTGAATTATATTTCAATTTTTCTCTTTTCATGAAACTGCTTATGCAATTCATTAATGTTCATTTAATTTCATCAAAAGTCCCTCATCACGTAAAACCATTGTATAACGAAGTGTTGCAGGTGCCAGCACTGCTCGTTGTTTTCTTTGTACGTAACCTGCTACGCTGAAGGAAGATTTACTTGCTACAGACGTGGCAGGTATGCAATTATAATGACGAACTAAAGTAGCCATTTGAGGAAAACGTTGTTGATTTTCGTTCCAGTACGTTTCAAATTTTGTGTCAGCTTTTATTGTTGATACATAGTGTCCAATTTCTTGTTTAATTGTAAATCGTTTTGCTTTTGTTGTTGCTGATGACGAAAGTAAAGCTCTTCCACAATCTAATAAAAAATGGTCAATGGCAGACAGTGGTTGATGGGTAGAAGCGGTTCGTAACAACCGTTGTTGTGCCGAAGTATACGAGATAGTTAGCAATGATAATGATTGGCGTAAATCCTGTCTAACTTTAAGTTCATGGCTTATTGCTGATTCTGCTTCAGTTCTATCTTTTTCATTTAAGTATTTATTCGATACTGGATCCAAAAATGATGCAATCTATAAATAGAAAAAGCAAGATTAAACGGAGCAGTGGAAAAGTTGTATGAAGTCCAGTAGGATTTTACACTGATTATATATCTCCTTTGTATGTAGCAGAGCAAAAACTTTAAGAGTTTACCTGTTGCAACAAGTAGACTTTGTTGTCCTTAACCCAAGTGAATCTTAAAAACTTTGCATTTACCAAAGTTCTTCTTGTTTGTTCTAACGGCAGCTTTTTCTCAAAATAAATTTCAAATTGTTCTAATAGTCGACCTTTGATTACATTTGCTATTTGTTGGTCAATTGTTTCCGTTTTCAGAAAATATTTTAGTGTATCTGTAATTATATGTCCAATCGAAAGTGTCTGATAACTGCGACCTGATAACAAAGTTGTCGCGTTATAAAATGGACCTAATGTCTGGTGAAATGCGCCCAAAATATCCCAGTCATAATGGCTGTACTCAAATGTTTTTAAACATTCGTACTGTTTTTTTCGAAGACCTTGTATCTGTGTTGGTGTGGTTGTAATACTGCTAATAATGTTACGATGCTCAATGAATCGATCTATCATCAGATATGTTGAATTCCAACGAACGTGGAAATCCAGTATTAAATCGCGACATTTTGCTATTTTTTTAACGTTTTCACCACCTGCGTCATTCTCTTGTATTTTTTTTATTTTAATTTGCTCACGCACGTAGGCATCAATTATACTAGATTTACGGATGAAGTTAACCATCGAACGTGTCTGAGTAATCAGATGATTTACTTTTGACATTATTTCATTTGGATCTCCAGATGCCATTTCTTCTTCTTGATCATTTGTGTGTAATTGTTGTTGTTCTTCGTCGATACTTACATCATCACTGTCCGTTGATACTTCTGGATTAACGATGCGAATATTTATTGATTCATCATCTCTATATTCAACGGAGCAATCACTCTCATTATCATCGTTGCTATCTTCCAAATCATCCTGCACTTCATCATCGTCCGCAATTGATTGTTCATGAACATCGTCTTGACTCGTTGTTGCGGTTACAGAACTAGTGCTATGAGAGAAGAGAAAACAATTTATTTGAAAAAAATATTCTTGCTTCTAAAGCTTTTCAAAAAAAGTTAAGAAAAATACTACTAGTTTTAGTTGTCTACTAGTTTTAAAGCTTTTATTAAACTCTTGAAGGTGATACTAAAAGTGAGTGTACCTTGAAGTGTTAAAGTGATCTTAATCAATTTTGTGTGTATTACAATATTTTTGAAGATAGCCTGGAACGGCTTCTTCTCCAATTAAATGGGTTTGCACAAGGTAGGTGACTGGCTGCGACAGAGTCAGTATTTTCATCACTTTGCGTACTGTCATTCATTAGACTGATTACTTGTCGATTAACAACACCCCTTGATATTCTTGGACGCCCCCGACCTCTTGATCCTCTTCTTCTTATCCCCTGTATTCTGTCTTGCTTGTTGTATCTTTCCATTTCGCACACCGCTTGGGGAGCGCGATGTGGCTAATCTTGAACTTTTCCGATGAAGAATTGGACTTTGCTGTAAACGAGATAATGAATTCGATCTCGCACTGCTTGTACTTGGTGCTGTCCACTCAAGATCATTGGCATCCATATTAATCAGACTTTATCGTGAAATCTAAATCAAATAACGACAACTGCAATATTATGCTTATGTAGAAAAATTGTTATAGACCATTTGTTGAATTATACAGTATAAAAAATGAGAAAAGATTCACATGTTCTCAATAGTTAAACGATATCATGCCCGTATTTTGTCGTATAGCTATATTTCAAACAGATCAGTGAAGAGAAGCCAATGTGCCTACAAAATTCTTTTTTTCTTACTTTCTGTCTCTCTTTATAGTTATTTCTCAGCCCGGCTACCTTATTGCATAATGCGAACGAAAGTTTCGTTACGAATCACTATCTAA